TTGAATACAGAGACAGGTTAAAGCATCTTAATTTGCACTCCCTCGAGAGACGTAGAGTGAGGGGCGACATGATCTAGGTGTATAAATGGAAGCCAGGGTTAAACAAAGGGGACATTACAAAGGTACTCAAACTATCCAACCAGGAGCGAACTCGTAACAATGGTTTTAAATTAGACAAATTTAGATTTCCGCATGAAATAGGTAAACACTGGTTTGGAAACAGAGTAGTGGATGAATGGAACAAGTTACCAAATATCATCATTAACTCGAATACGCTGGATAGCTTCAAACATAGGTTGGATGCTTATATGAGCAATAGGGGTTGGCTATAAAAGGGACTGCCCAGTATGGGTCAATAGGCCCGCTGCAGTTTCCTCCATTTTTATGTTCTTATGTTAATCCGTTACCCAACTACAGCTGCAGATTCACGTGGTTCCGGTAGGTCCTTTAGCTCACATAGGGTGTTGGAGATGGTTTTAGTTCATGTGATATAGTTTGGAATTCACAGTTATTCGCCTGGGTGGAATAGGGAGTCCTCATTTCTCTCCTGGAGTAGTTTGGAGTCTTTCTTGGCTTCTCATCAAGTGTTGGTGGTGGTCAGTGTACCGGGGACAGGGTGTGTTAGGTCCCCGTCAGGTCAATATTGACCGCTAAGCACTGCTTGTCATTCACAATTGTTTCTTCCTTTCGTGTTGAAAGTGTCACTTTTGTATATCACTTGAGGATAAGGAAAGCCAAGAGGAATAATGAGGTAAGAATAGCAAGGGAGGCGAAGACAATCCCCAAAGGATTCTACCAAATGTATCAAACTAAAACACAAGAAAAGATTGGACCAATACGGTCAGATACCGGTGAGCTCACTGATAACGACGGAGAAATGAGCAATTATTTGAATAAATATTTTTCAACAGTTTTCACCACTGAAAATTTAAACATGATACCAGAGGCGCCGACTCTATTCAGAGATAGTGAAGAAAACAAATTAAGCGAGATAGTAGTGACTAGTAACGATGTTAGTAAGCAAATAGACAAACTAAAGCCTAAGAAGTCACCTGGTCCTGATGAGATATTTGCCAGAGTATTAAAGGAATGTAAGGAAGAGCTTAGTATGCCCTTAGCAAAGTTGTTTAACATGTCCTTAAAAACAGGTGTAGTACCAGAATCCTGGAGGATAGCGAATGTAATACCGATTTTCAAGAAGGGGGATAGATCACTATCCTCTAACTACCGCCCAATCAGTCTAACATCAATAGTAGGCAAATTACTGGAAGCAATCATTTCAAACTCTATACGAAATCACCTGGAGAAGCACCGATTGATCAATGATTCCCAGCATGGCTTCACAAGCGGACGTTCTTGTCTAACTTATCTATTATCATTCTTTTCATCAGTTTTCGAATGGGTGGACGAGGGGGACAATTATGATGTGGTATATCTCGACTTTAGCAAAGCCTTTGACAGAGTCCCCCACGAAAGACTAATTAGAAAGGTAGAAGTACATGGCATCAAAGGTGACATCCTTAAATGGATTAGGGCGTGGTTACAGGACAGGAAACAGCGAGTGAGGATTAACTGCACTAAGTCCCATTGGCAACGTCACAAGTGGAGTTCCCCAAGGCTAAGTACTTAGACCATTATTATTTATTATATACATAAACGACATAGATATCGGCATAGACTGCAACATAAGTAAATTTGCTGATGACACTGAAATAGGACGTGTTATTAAATGTGACGAGGACTCCGCAAAACTACAGGAAGATCTAAACAAATTTTTCCAATGGTCTGAAAAATGGCAAATGAAATTCAACGTGGACAAATGTAAAGTACTCAGTATAGGAGATGTAAACAGGGAAACCAGATACCAGATGAACAACGATGCCATAGAGAAATCCAACTGCGAGAGAGATTTAGGAGTAATGACAAGTAGGAATTTTGAGCCAAGTAAACAATGTGTTTTTGCTCGTAACAAGGCTAATAAAGTACTTGGGTTCATACAAAGGAGTGTTAGCTACAAGACTAGCGAGGTCATCCTAAGACTGTATCTTGCGCTTTTGAGACCACACCTGGATTACGCAGTTCAGTTCTGGTTACCGTATTACAAGATGGATATAGAATCATTGGAAAGAATTCAGAGGAGAATGACAAGACTAATCCCGGGCATTGGGAACCTTGAGTATAGAGACAGGTCAAAGCATCTTAATTTGCACTCCCTCGAGAGATGTAGAGCGAGGGGCGACCTGATAGAGGTGTATAAGTGGAAGTCAGGGCTAAAGAAAGGGGACATTACAAAGGTACTCAAACTATCCAACCAGGAGCGAACTCGTAACAATGGTTTTAAATTAGACAAATTTAGATTTAGGCGTGAAATAGGTAAACACTGGTTTGGAAACAGAGTAGTGGATGAATGGAACAAGTTACCAAATATCATCATTAACTCGAATACGCTGAATAGCTTCAAACATAGGTTGGATGCTTATATGAGCAATATGGGTTGGGTGTAAACGGGACTGCCTAGTATGGGCCAATAGGCTCGCTGCAGTTTCCTCCATTCTTATGTTCTTATTGAACGTCAATCTTTGCACTGTTCTGTATGTGGGAGGATGTTGTTAAATCCAGATGGGGAGGAGGAGATGGGGAAAGGGAAGGGCTCGACAAACGAGGCTGGCAGCTGTCTCCATGGTCAAGAGACCACGGGCAGCGTCGACATTCTCACCCTGTGAAGGCTCGAGACGGAGTGTGTGTGTGTGTGTGTGTGTATCTCTCTCTCTCTCTAAATATATATATATATATATATATATATATATATATATATATATATATATATATATATATATATATATATATATATATATATATATATATATATATACACAGTATATGCAAGTAAATCACTGTAGGTGTGCGTGATCCAGGTTTATGCTGATAACCACAAGGAAAAAGGAAAACACGACGTTCCCAAGCGCTTTCGTGTAATTCACATCTGCAGGGGACAGTGAGTGTCCACAATGGTCCGGTCACTAGGTTGTGATCCTACTAATCTTCATAAGCATCGCAGCAGCAGTCTGTAGTCAGGTCAGAGGGTAAGATGAACCAACCTTCTCACCTGGTTACAAATCTTCTTAATTACGAAATTATCCAGTTTGTACATACCATAACTCAAATTCATGTTGACGGCTTCGGTATGTTTAATGAGACTGGATTCTATAATGTTCCTATTGCCAATTGAATTACAAGGTAATATTGAGGAGGCATTATCCCAGTCAATGCAATGCAATGCTCATATATTTATATTTATATATATATATATATATATATATATATATATATATATATATATATATATATATATATATATATATATATATATATATATATATAATAATAATAATAATAATAATAATAATAATAATTAACGGTTTATTGAAAAAATTCTGCAGCCCGAAGGCTGAAAATATACATTGGACATAAATGACTTATTACATACATTGGTGGTTTAACAAAAGCCTTCATTAGAGAAAAGTAAAGGAACATACAGTGAACATACAGATTAATGTAGGTGTTAAACAGCAAACTCGTAGTGTAGTAACTCCCTCCCTGATTGTGTTAGGAGGAACTCACGTGGTGTAGTGGTTCCCTCAGATGGTGTTATGAGGGACCTGGCGTGGTGTAGTAATTTCCTCGCAGATGGCGTTATGAGGGGCCTCACGTGGTGTAGTAATTACCTCACAGATGGTGTTATGAGGGGCCTCACGTGGTGTTATAACTCCCTCACAGATGGTGTTATGAGGTACCTCACGTGGTGTAGTAATTACCTCACAGATGGTGTTATGAGGGACCTCACGTGGTGTAGTAATTACCTCACAGATGGTGTTATGAGGGGCTTCACGTGGTGTAGTAACTCCCTCACAGATGGTGTTATGAGGGGCATCACGTGGTGTAGTAATTCCCTCACAGATGGTGTTATGAGGGGCCTGATGTGGTGTAGTAATTCCCTCACAGATGGTGTTATGAGGGACCTCACATGGTGTAGTAATTCCCTCACAGATGGTGTGATGAGGGACTTGACGTGGTGTAGTAATTCCCTCACATATGGTGTTATGAGGGACATGTGGTGTAGTAATTCCCTCACAGATGGTGTTATATGAGTGAGGTTTGGTCTTAGGCCTTCCTATCGCAGACAGATTAACACATCGCTGGTTGTTGTTGGGTCGGGCCGTTATCACTGGGTACCTGGGACCTCACTGTGTGAAGGTTATCTTGGGTACGACTGTTACTGTTGAGTTGTTCTCACTGACTTAAGCACTGTTCACCACTGTTCACCTCTGTTTAACACTGGTTCCGTTCCTTTCCTAAATGAAATTGTAACTTCTGGCGAGAACTTGTTGATGTTCCGGTGGGGAGGAGGGTTCAGGGGAGGGGGTTGGTATGGGCCAACTTAACAGTTGACCTGGCTGCTCCGAGAGGAGCGCCAGGTACGTCTTGACCCTTCGGTGGTCAATGATATGTCAAGGATATATATTATGTGCGTGTGTGTGTGAGTACTTTGTATGTTTCAGGTAAATTTCCAGACTCCTTAACATATAGAATTTATATATACCTCTTGAAAAGGATCTTAGTAATTTAAAAAATATAGATGCACATAATACGTAGGAGAGGCATGGGAGACGTGGGGAAGCAGAGAGGACGTGGGAGAGGCAGGGAAGACGTGGGAGAGGCAGAAGAGACGTGGGGAGGCAGAGAAGACGTGGGAGAGGCAGGGAAGACGTGGGAGAGGCAGAAGAGACGTGGGGAGGCAGAGAAGACGTGGGAGAGGCAGGGAAGACGTGGGAGAGGCAGGGGAGAGGTGGGGAGGCAGAGAAGACGTGGGGGAGGCAGGGAAGACGTGCGGGAGGCAGGGAAGGCATAGAAGTGTGACGGGTTGTGGTGCCGAGGGAAGGACGGGTATACTGCTTTTCTTATCTCACTGTAACAAACATTACATGATCCTAATTTTGCAGGCAGTGGGGTGTAGCGGTTGATGATTGTGCTGACGCTGCAGGTAAAAGGGAGGAACGTGTGTGTTGGTGACGACGCCAGAAAAGCATTACAGAAGTCAGGATGGCATTCGAGCTGACAGAGTACCCACCGAAGTCTTTCAGTGATAAGTACCAGAAGTACTTAGCACCTCACGGGGTTCTGCTGTCACCCCAGCAGGTACTGAAAAACAAAAAACTGGGTAGTAACGCAGAGGACACCTTGCGTAAAGCCTTTAAGATCACGGTGAAAAAGCTGAGGAAGATGAGAGCTGCATGTGCCAACTGCAACACAACTGAGGGCAAGTCACCAAACACCTCATAATGTTGACTTCACTGGCTGTGTTGGGCGTAATTTACACCAACCCCACAATAATCTCTCTCACACTCAACGCATGCAAATACCACAAACTGTAAATCAAGAAAAAGCTTCTAGTTAAGCAACAAGATGCAAAACTACACACAATTCTATCTTTTTTAGTTTTTGATGTAATAATATTTTATAAGCAGAACAGGGACTTTGTGGACACCCTGTATATCGTTTACAGATTCTCACATCCTTAAACTGTAGGTATTCATTAGGTACCATACAAAACAAATAAAAATTAGGATAACACCCATTGGTTTAAAACATATTTATGGTCTAAATGAGCCAGATTGTACTATTATTGTCAAATTCTTAATCCTTACCATCAAAACATATTAACTGACAGAGAGATAAACTGAATCACCCAAATGATCGCAAATCAACGACTCTGATTCATACAGAGAGTCAACATGGCTGCTATTTTGATGACGTCATTTATACCATTGATTCTATAAAGTATAATTAAATGCGATCTGGCAAAGTGACATCTACTCAGATGCTGATCCACTGACTGGTAACAGAGAGATGCCATCCAATAAAAAATTTCAGCTTCATTGCGGGGTTGGCTGGTTGACTAGTAAGTGAGGCGTGGCTACTGGTGGTATTGCAGGTGTTGGCGTGGAGTGTGAGGGCTGTGGGGCGGTGCGCTACTGCAGCCTCAAGTGTCAGGACCAACGACGTCAACCTCACGATCTCGTCTGTCATCACCTAAAGGACGAACTCTTAGACCAGGTCAGTCGCCACAGACCCTGCACTACATCCTTCAATAATCACCTTTACTAGTCACCTTCACTTGTCACCCTCGCTGGTCACCCTCATTAGTTATCATCATTAGTCACCCTCAATCCTCCAAGGAAGATAACCTGGTTATTCTTTTTTATGTTTATGCTTTTTATTATATAATTAGTGATGACCGAGTGGAAGTGACAGTTTACCCGGTGTAGGTGGTGGCGAGAGTCTACCTGGTGTAGGTGGTGGTGAGAGTCTACCTGATGTAGGTGGCAAGACTCTACCTGGTGTAGGTGGTGGTGAGAGTCTACATGGTATAGGGGGTGGTGAGAGTCTACCTGATGTAGGTGGCGAGACTCTACCTGGTGTAGGTGGTGGTGAGAGTCTACCTGGTGTAGGTGGTGGTGAGAGTCTACCTGGTGCAGATGGTGATGAGTCTCCTTCCTGTAGGTGGTGGAGTGCCTGCCAGCACCGGTGCCGCTGGGAAAGGAGGTGTTGCGGGGTGGTGGTGGCGTGGTAAAGGACTGGCAGGACTGGTTCACTCGTCACACAGTCATCAAGGACAACGTGGTCACGGCGGCCACTATCCTTACCCAGTGGTGGCCCTTTACCAGTCTTCCACACCCAGGTGAGTCTATAACACAACCTACTTACTACTTTGCTGTCACTCGGAATCAAGTATGACGATCATCTAGCTATGATACAATGGCATGAGTTATTAAGAATGTCACCTACGTTGGTGAGTTATGAGGTGACTAAAGAGGCTGATACGGGACCGGCAGTGTCGTTCACAGATGCTGCACATGAGAGGGGCTACATCTAGTGCGGGAGGGGCGGTGACAGCATCTTTCCGGCGTTAGCTCTTCTCTGCCTCGTTATGCAGTCGGGCTAACTCGAAAGTATTGACATCTTCTTGCGTGGTGCTCCTCCAAGCGTTACGGTGTGGAGTAATAGTCTCCCAGGTGAGGAGGAAGATTTGGCACTTTTTCAGGTTTGTCTTAAGACTATCCTTATACATTTTCAGTTGCCCGCCAAGGTAGCGTTTACTATTCGTTAGGTGACTGCATTGGTAGTCTACTATCGTCCATGCGGGTAACATGGCCAGTCCATCGTAGTTGTTCAGGATAATGGTAGCCTCGATGCTCTTACATTTAGTGTCAGCTAGAATACTGGCATTTTTTCTCTTGTCTTCCCAGCGAACTCGGAGGATGGAACTAAATTGGTAAAAGTTTTCAAGTGCCTTGAGGTGCCTCCTGTATGTGACCCATGTCTCGTTGCCATACAGCAGGGTCGGGAGGACCACTGCTCGATATAATTGCAACTTTGTGGATAATTTCAGCTCCCTTCAGTTAAAGACATGGGCACAGAGTCTGACAAAGGCTTGAGAAGCACATATGATCCGATGCTGAATCTCTTCATCTATGTCCACGGGGGGGACAGGTGGGAGCCGAGATACCGAAAGTGGGTAACATTAGAGAGGGTAGTACCGTTAAGCTGGATGGGTGGTGGAGGTGTGTCTGAACCAGGTGCAGGCTGAAAGAGAATCTGAGTCTTACATACATTCACCTCAAGGCCGAAGTGTGCATTTGCATCTGCGTAGGTGCTCAGGATCTCCTGTAGGTTCCGTTCAGTGTGAGCGACAAGGGTGAGGTCGTCTGCATACTGATGTTCAGTAATGGAATCTGCCAACACCTTTTTTCCTGCCTGGAGTCGTCTCATGTAGAAAAGACCCTGTAGGCATTCGTGGTATAATGTTGTCTAGCACTCAGGATGGATGGAAACTCTAAGGTGGTTTTCTTGTATAATATAAGTTATATGATAGACAGTCTGGTGCTGGAGGTGCCGTGTGGTGAGGAGCTGCTCAGTAGAGACGTTCGGTGAGTAGCGTGTTGAAGGAGGTAGATGTGCAGGAGCTTCATTAGAGAAGATGTTGCCTGTTGCTGGCCTCCTGGTTGAATGAATGCTGACAGCGTGGAGCTTGCTGGAGGAGGTGTTGCTTGTTCAAGAAGAGAGACCAGAATGAGAGCTGGTTGGTGAGGAAGCTCAGAGAAGGACAGCTGGTGGGTCGCCACGCTCGCTGGCGGGAGGGAGGACCGCCAGGCAGGCGAGGAGAAGTGAGGGCCGCCAGGCAGCGGCGGAGGAGGAGGTGTTGCTTGTTCAAGAAGAGAGGCCGGAATGAATCTCAATGGAGAGACAGAGCTTATATACCCAGCAGCCGTGAGTCCTCTATGAGTCATGTTGGGAAAACCCGAGAAAGTCGCCGGTCTTTTGGTTCCGTTGCTAGGTTACGGCGGCGCATCTGGTGACGCCGCTCGTTTGGTTGCTAAGGAAGGCGTCGCAGGTGGGATGCAGATATGCAGTTGTAGGGGAGAAGTCCACTACAACCCTTCATCCGGTACTCGATGTCCACCCTGCTGGCTAAGTTGGCATTGGCACGAGTAAGGAAGGCAGCCAAGAAAATGGGAAAGAGAGTTGGTGCCAGTACACACCTTTGTTTAACCCCCGTTTGGATGGGGAAAAACTCAGACTGGACGCTATTGTGCAAAATAATGCCGTTCATGCTATCGTGGAGTTGCCTCACAATGGCGATGAATTTTGGTGGGCAGCCAAAACGGCTAAGGATTCGACAGAGGGCTTCCCTGTTGACTGAGTCGAAGGCCTTGGTTAGGTCGATGAAAGCCATGTACAGGTCACGACTCTGTTCTCTGCACTTTTCATTTATCTGGCGGGCAGCAAAGATCATGTCAGTGGTGCCACGTGATGGTCTAAACGTCTAAAGCCACATTGAGATTCTGAGAGGAAGTTTTCCACCTCAGGAAGAAGTCTGTTTAGGAGTTCTCAGGCGATAACATTGCCAGCTATGTAGAGCACCGAGATCCGGCGGTAGTTGCCACAGTCTGACCAGTCTCCCGTGTTCTTATAAATGTTAACGAATGAGGCATCTTTAAGAACTCGAGGGATTTCTTCCTTCTCCTATTATATTTGCCAGGAGAGTATGGAGACGGCTGGTAGTCAGAGGGCGTCCTGCTTTATACATCTAGGTTGGGATTCCATCAGGCCCTGAGACTTTGTTATTTTTCATGTTTGATGGCAGTAGTTTCCTCATCCAGGGATGGAGGATAGCTGAGGTGGGTCAGCTCTGGGTGCTGAGTGACCTGTTGGGTAGTCAGGACACCCACATTGGTGTTTCGGTTGAGCAGGAAATGGTAATGCTCTTTCCTGCACTGAAAGATGTATTTTTCATCTTTAATTAGGGAGTTACTATTGAATGAGTGTAGGGAGGCAGCCCCATGAGTAATTTGGCCATAGAATTTTTAGTGCTGAGAACGCGCATGCGTGCGTAGTGTCAACAAAGGCTGTAAGAGACTGCTCCTTAAAAGCCGTATTTCTGACGAATTCAGGGAGTCTACTAATTCCAGCCTGTGCAGACAACTATAGTAAGACCCAGTTATCAGCACAGTGGCATCTTTTTTTTTTTTTTTTACTTTTGGACTGTCATTTTTTTGGGATAAAACATCTGGTCCTACCACCCGATCCCTCTGGGCAAAGTTTTTCAAGTTTGCGCATGCGCAATGTGATAGTGTGACGTAGCAGTGACGTCATTACCACTCCACCTGACTGCAGTGTTGCCAACGTGCCCTATGCCCGCCGTTAAACGCTACCGTTCGTTGGAAACGGCTGCAGTAGGTGACAGTGATGCTGACGATTTTCTTCTTGAAGACACGTCAAAGAAGAAGCAGAAACCTCAGAAGTCAGGGTCTCCAGCAGGGGCCACGGCTCCCCTTCGCACCCCGTCTGGGGCTGTAGAGTGTGGCCTCCTCCTGTCATCGGGGTCCCCAAGTGAGCTTACATGTGGCTCAATGACCGACCCTCCGCCGACGATGGATATAGGGGATTCCCTTTGTCTCCCTGCCCCGTCGCGCCTTCGTCGTCTCGCCTTTCTGGGCGAGAAGTACAAACCCACCACAGCCAGCCCAAGCCAGTGATAGTGACAGTGAAGATGACTTTGAGGGATTTGTCAGGGAAGCCCTGACAACTGTAAGTGACAGTGATGGTGATTCACCTAGTAATGGTGATTCACCTGAGGGCCAGTAATCTGCCCTCTGCCTCGGAACAAGCCTCCATCCCCGTATGCCGTCCCATCTCTTCTACTACCGTAAGTGTTCCACCTAACATTTAGTTTTTCTAACCTAACCTTTATTTTTCCTATGTTAACCTTTATTTTTCCTAACCTAACCTCTTCTATATTACTTGTTTTTTCATACCATCATAAAGTTAAGATAAAATTTTTACTACAACATAGTTGTGTGTCGTCAAAAAGTGGAGTTTGGGGGTCGGCCCGGACTCCATTTCAATTAATCCCATATGTTATGTTATTCACTTTACGCCGGACCCTGCGGGTTACATTAACCGCGTAAAGTGAGGGTTAACTTACATATATATATATATATATATATATATATATATATATATATATATATATATATATATATATATATATATATATATATATATATATATATATATATATATATATATAGATAGATACTGTTTGGATGTTGTGTTGTCAAAGTAAGAGAAGCAATTGAGACCCTGCAATTGTGTGTAAATGAGACGGAAAGACAGATCAGCAACCTGGGACTTGGTCACAATTTTTGTAATGCCATATGGCAGCAGGGTGTACCATTAGACAACACATTATGCTTCCAATATCTTCCCAGGCGGTAATACCTCCCTGTTTGACAGCTTCCTACTATCTACTGCCTGTGGAAGGTATCAGCTTTGGTACGACACTGAAGGTTGTTCTGCCAGTCAGTTAAAGCAGCACGTTTACCATCGACCAGTACGTTGATTTCCGGGTCGTTTTCATCGAACCAGTCCTGGTGTATTCTTTCGATCTGGCCGAGGGTCTCTGCAGGTTTTTGTCATGTCAGTGTTCGATGATACCCCATTCAACATTCGGATTTGGGTTGTTTGTTGTTGGGTTGTTTATCAGCCCATCCTCGAGCTGCTCTCTGAAAGCATGTTCTATCACTTGAACCTCCAGTCCCTTGGTGTTAAAACCATTTCTAGAGGCTCTTTGCCTTCGCCGTTTTGGAGCAATGCAAAGGGAGAATTTGGCTGTGCCACAGTGATCTGAGCAACCTTTGGCTCTGGTGATGAGGACATCTCGACGATATCTTTCTCTGACAGAGATGTAGTCAATGAAATGCTAATTTTTGGATCATGGGTGTTGCCAAGAACCCTTGAACTTGTTGGTGATAGTGAGGTTGTGTTCAGCACACTTGTTGAGGAGGAGTAGATCTTTGAGATTTCACTTGACCACTCCGTTTCTTCCTATGGTTCCCAGTCATAAGTCAGCATCTCTGCCAACTCTGGCATTGAAGTAACCTAGGAGCACAACCTTACTTTCTCTGGGATAGAGGTTAGCACTTTGTCAAGGTCAGCATAAAAGGCCTCCTCGATGTAATCCTCTGCATCCAGTCTTAAGCCTTATGCACTGATGAAGAAGGCATGATGTGAGTGATTCAGTGAGACTCGGAGCATCATGAGGTGCTCGTTGATCCAAACAGGAATTCCAGTTAGTCTATGTAGGATGGATTGGAGAATGGCAAAGCCAACTCCATAAAAGTAGTTTCTTTCTGTAGCTGGCTTACCATTCCAGAAGAAGGTAAAGCCGGAACCCTGGTCTGGGAGCCGGGACTCACTAATAGCTGCTATGTTGAGGTGCCTAGACAGCTCTTTTGCCACAAGGGCGTTTCTACCTTCAGGATACTCATTTGAGTCAGTATCCAGAAGGGTCCTGACATTGCTTGCAGCAACCATAACAGGTTATATAGTTTGTTTTACTTTGGTCTGTGATTATGATTATTTTTTCGAGTGCATTAGGATGACCTTACTGGGTGTGGTTGGCTAGTATATATTTTTTTTGGAGGGGGGGGGGGCAGCCTACGTTTAGGGCACCTTTTTTCGCTCACTCCCTATGTGGGGTGAGCAGAGTGGCTCCTGAAAATGGCTGCTCAGTCGCACAGACAGAAATGGATTGCACTGCTGCTTAGATTCCAGTGCATAAACGACCATCTAATCTATACCTGTTCCTAACGTCACTCATTTGTCTCCATAGGACTTTTGGGGGTTTAGGGGTTTGATGATGATGAACAGTATAATGAGCTGGATGTTGGCTGTGTGTCAGTTGATTTCTGTAGTGAGGCAGGAGCTCAGGCTGCAACCACACATCTTGGCTCTCCCTTTTCCCGATCCAGTGGTGCAGGTAGCAGAACGACTGGGGAAAGGGAGAGTTGCAAAGGACTGCCAATAACCCAGTTTGTTGGGTTTTGCCTTAGTAGCCTGTCCATCCTGCAATGCCTTCATGCGCTAGTCTAGCCGTTGGGTTCCCATTTTGGACACCTCTTCCGCCTATTCTACCGTTGGGGTCTTACTGAGCTCTGTATGCTTGTCTGCCTGATGTGGAGCTCCACTGCAGATTTTCATTTGGGGTTTGCTTCTGAAGCCTTATACTTACCAAGGTTAATTTGGAAGACAGTGGGGCAGTGGGTGGTAGGTGCAAGGGTATGTCCATATGGTGGTGGGCCTACGTGCTGTCTTCTGGAGCCCAATGCTGCACTAGATTGGGGCCACGAGACATCCAGTTACCGTGTGTTGCCACGAGGAGGCACAGCAAGAGTGTTCATGGTGAAGAGGCTGTGTACTGTTAGGGGAAGACTTACGCAAGGTTGCTTCCCTGTTCACCACAAGGGCTAGCCAGTGACGGTAGCTGAAAGCAAGAGGAAGCAAGCAGTACCCGCGCCTTAACACTAACATAATGCTGCCACACTAGATGCATTACACCACCCTGTGCATACACACACACACACACACACACACACACACACACACAGGTCATACATACATACATACATACATACATACATACATACATACATACATACATGCTTTTTTAACCCAAAATGTAGATATAAAATGAACAACAACAACAATATTGACATGTCTAAGCCAAGGAAGAGCTTGAGCACTCCTAATGGCACCTGATAAATACTGCACATTGAGTTATGTTAAGTGAAACCATAAAGTAGTTACAGTAAATTCGAGAGCATGTCGTGATGGCAAAATATATTATTATTGGCATTGATAATTTGTAGCAATGTGTCATTATATATTATAATGATTTTAACGACAATAAAACAGTTAAAAAGTGTTAATGTATTGCAAATGTTTTAACATCAAGACAATACGTGTCTTCTGAAAGTACAGTACAGCACAGTAGTTCGCTGTTTAATGATCATAACAACTTTTATCCCTTTATCGTCTCTTTTATGGGCAATTATATTTCTCAATATAGGATCATTTGATGCATTTTAAGGATATCTGGACGTAACAACATGATTTTAGTTTGTATTGCTGACGACGAAGGTTGTTTGTCTAAACCGCATAATGTGTAACAACAGGAGTAATAGTGAAGGCCATATCGTGTTGGTTTGATGAAACACAGAGAAGAGGGGGTGGGGGAAAAGAGAGGACCTGTGTATGACTGCGGCTGTATCACTATCACTGCAGTGGTTGGTAGAACTAGTGTGGTTTACATATAATGTTATTGGTAGAACTAGTGTGGTTTACATATAATGTTATTGATAGAACTAGTGTGGTTTACATATATTGTTATTGGTAGAACTAGTGTGGTTTACATATAATGTTATTGGTAGAACTAGTGTGGTTTACATATAATGTTATTGGTAGAACTAGTGTGGTTTACATATATTGTTATTGGTAGAACTAGTGTGGTTTACATATATTGTTATTGGTAGAACTAGTGTGGTTTACATATATTGTTATTGGTAGAACTAGTGTGGTTTACATATATTGTTATTGGTAGAACTAGTCGGGTTTACGTATATTGTTATTGGTAGAACTAGTGTGGTTTACATATATTGTTATTGGCAGAACTAGTGTGGTTTACATATATTGTTATTGGTAGAACTAGTCGGGTTTACGTATATTGTTATTGATAGAACTAGTGTGGTTTACATATATTGTTATTGGCAGAACTAGTGTGGTTTACATATATTGTTATTGGTAGAACTAGTGTGGTTTACATATATTGTTATTGGCAGAACTAGTGTGGTTTACATATATTGTTATTGGTAGAACTAGTCGGGTTTACGTATATTGTTATTGGTAGAACTAGTGTGGTTTACATATATTGTTATTGGCAGAACTAGTGTGGTTTACATATATTGTTATTGGTAGAACTAGTGTGGTTTACATATATTGTTATTGGTAGAACTAGTGTGGTTTACATATATTGTTATTGGTAGAACTAGTGTGGTTTACATATATTGTTATTGGTAGAACTAGTGTGGTTTACATATTTTGTTATTGGTAGAACTAGTGTGGTTTACATATATTGTTATTGGTAGAACTAGTGTGGTTTACATATATTGTTATTGGTAGAACTAGTGTGGTTTACATGTATTGTTATTGGTAGAACTAGTGTGGTTTACATACATTGTTATTGGTAGAACTAGTGTGGTTTACATATATTGTTATTGGAAGAACTAGTGTGGTTTACATATATTGTTATTGGTAGAACTAGTCGGGTTTACGTATATTGTTATTGGTAGAACTAGCGTGGTTTACATATATTGTTATTGGTAGAACTAATCGGGTTTACGTATATTGTTATTGGTAGAACTAGTGTGGTTTACATATATTTTTTATTGGTAGAACTAGTCGGGTTTACGTATATTGTTATTGGTAGAACTAGTGTGGTTTACATATATTGTTATTGGCAGAACTAGTGTGGTTTACATATAAAGTTATTGGTAGAACTAGTCGGGTTTACGTATATTGTTATTGGTAGAACTAGTGTGTTTTACATATATTGTTATTGGTAGAACTAGTGTGGTTTACATATATTGTTATTGGTAGAACTAGTGTGGTTTACATATAAAGTTATTGGTAGAACTAGTCGGGTTTACGTATATTGTTATTGGTAGAACTAGTGTGGTTTACATATATTGTTATTGGTAGAACTAGTGTGGTTTACATACATTGTTATTGGTAGAACTAGTGTGGTTTACATATATTGTTATTGGAAGAACTAGTGTGGTTTACATATATTGTTATTGGCAGAACTAGTGTGGTTTACATATATTGTTATTGGTAGAACTAGTGTGGTTTACATATATTGTTATTGGTAGAACTAGTGTGGTTTACACATATTGTTATTAGCAGAACTAGTGTGGTTTACATATATTGTTATTGGTAGAACTAGTGTGGTTTACAGATATTGTTATTGGTAGAACTAGTGTGGTTTACATATATTGTTATTGGCAGAACTAGTGTGGTTTACATACATTGTTATTGGTAGAACTAGTGTGGTTTACATATATTGTTATTGGCAGAACTAGTGTGGTTTACATATATTGTTATTGGCAGAACTAGTGTGGTTTACATATATTGTTATTGGCAGAACTAGTGTGGTTTACATATATTGTGATTGGTAGAACTAGTATGGTTTACAGATATTGTTATTGGTAGAACTAGTGTGGTTTTCATATATTGTTATTGGTAGAACTGGTGTGGTTCACATATTTTGTTATTGGTAGAACTAGTGTGGTTTACATATATTGTTATTGGTAGAACTAGTGTGGTTTACATATATTGCTATTAGCAGAACTAGTGTGGTTTACATATATTGTTATTGGTAGAACTAGTGTGGTTTACATATATTGTTATTAGCAGAACTAGTGTGGTTTACATATATTGTTATTGGTAGAACTAGTGTGGTTTACATATATTGCTATTAGCAGAACTAGTGTGGTTTACATATATTGTTATTGGTAGAACTAGTGTGGTTTACATATATTGTTATTAGCAGAACTAGTGTGGTTTACATATATTGTTATTCGCAGAACTAGTGTGGTTTACATATATTGTTATTGGTAGAACTAGTGTGGTTTACATACATTGTTATTAGCAGAACTAGTGTGGTTTACATATATTGTTGTTGGTAGAACCAATACGTACACATGTATTGTTACTGGTAGAAACTTTTTAGTTTTAATGTAGTTATCGGTAGAACCAGTTTTGTTTACATGTCGTTTATTTGTAGAACTACTGTAGTTTACATGTATTGTTATTAGAAGTAAAAAACAGTGTTTATTTCTTTGAGTCGTACAAGTGTAATTTTATGACACATTTTACTGTACTTATCTTTGTGACTATTAATGTTATGCTGAATTTAATTTACAGTTGACATAATAAAACTGTTTCATTGCTAGACTGTACAATGTACATTTGTGTGTGTATATGCAGGGGAGGCAGCGCTCCAGTGTTCCCTGGAAAGGATCGTGACCAATGTGTTCAGCACGGTGCTCACTATTGGTCACTGTCCCTATTGGATCCCGGCGCTACAACCCAACCTTCAGAACCTCCAACAGATTCACATCCACCTGCTGGGCGCCGATGAACCGGAGGTGGGCGCCGTCCAGTCCGGCCTCATACAGGTGGGTGCTATGTAGGAGTCGTGGACGACTTGTTTTATTCTGTTATGTGAGATTCTGAGGAGGTAGGGTTAAACTTCTTTTCCAAATAGCATACAGTAGATATAATTTAGTGGCACTGTGTGACATTTATAGTGTTCAAAGGTGTTCAAACCTCAGACCCTAAATTACTACGAATCTTTTAACAGTAATGGGATTAGAAAAAAAAGATGCGTGGTAAAGTAATGGGCACTTTATCACAGTTCTAGGAATAATTCATCTGTTTATGAAGAAATATTAATAATATAGTTTTCCTCGTATTCGAGGATTGCTGGATCTAAGACCACCCAGGCGGTGCTGAACTCGTACGTCACGATAGCGGCCCCATCAACTTCTGGGTTTGGGATCGTACTTGTCCAGCCGGATTTCCCGCGGCATGAATCAAATCCACATCACACGGAATGAGCGCCACTAAAAGCCTGACCTGCTAACTTGTATGAGACAAATACTCTAAACTCCAAGTCAGGAGTGGGAACATCACTGGAACAATCGAATGCGACTGAAATTCTAAGCTCTATTGATCTGAATGTTGTAAGTGTTGCTCCTTGATCTACTAACACTAAGATAGAGTAACCAAGTTTCCTTGACGTGAAAGTCCCAGGTAGTGTTTCACCTCCACACCTCTACAAGAATCATCAAAACATTTGGAGACTACACTATTGATATCCTTCTGCCTGAAGGAAGCCTAGCGACTGGATGTTGGCTGTGGCACATATCTCAAAAGCAGTGTAAAAGAGTCTACAAGACATAAAAAAGGGAAAAGCTCAAAGGAAAAATTATCAGTTAAACCAACTTTCCATGAAAAGGCGAAGACTTTCTTCGTGACCCAGATAACAAGCAGGGGCTATTTGCATTTATGTCCAACAAGAGTAGAAGCAGTGAATCCCCCATAACAAGGAGGTTGTCATCACATCTGGACAGTGTGGTCGTCAGAGGAACCAACCACTTTATGCCGGACTTTGATCTTGAAGAAGCGGACAAAAGAATGTTGTTTAATCTGCAGGACCCTTTGCAACATATGCTTGATTCGCACAGTATATATTGATGTCGTTGTCATGTCGATTGGCAAGTTTCACCACCTGCACACTATATGCCAAGCATAAAATATATGGGTGGTTTTTGGTACAGAGAAGAACTTTTGGTGCATTCATACCAATACCATCACCCAGAGTTTGGGAGAAGACAAGTCATATTCATGCATGGCATTACCCACGTAACCCACCATCCACAGATTCACAGGCTGTGATACGGTGTCATCCCTTTTTGGAAAGGGGAAAATATAAGAGTGGGAGGCTTGGAATTTTTACCCTGAAGTCACAGAAACTTTCAACTTCATGATGCAGTACATCGAGTCGGATGTCAATGTTGAACACTTCAAGCCGCTTGGGCGCTACACAGTTGTTTTACAGTTTTTGTTATACATTTCTAACCTGACTAGTTACCACCTTGACTCTGTCAATGAAAAAACGCAGAGAGATGTTCTGTCAGAGAAACAAACCCATGTAATCCATTCAACCGACCCAAGGTGCTCTTCTTGAGCACTTAAATCTAGCTGCTCACCAAACAGGAATCTGGATCACTTGTGAGCTGCCACAACAACTAGCACCGTCTCCAGACTCCAGAGGAATAAGGTTGATAATAGACAAGGACAGCCAGTCCTTGTTCCTGGTGTGGACAGCATTATCAATGGTTTCCAAAGCTCGTAGTGAGTTGGTCAAATGTTGCTGCAAGAGCAAAATTGGTTGCAGTGACAAGTATGCTTACAACAGCTCAGTGGAGATGCACCGAGCTCTGCAAATGCAAATATAATAAACATTATGAAGAAATGTCAGATAATACACTGCGATAGTTATTACCGCTTTTTAGTTCTATATCGCTCTGACTGAGGTTTTTCAACTCTTAAACGGCTTCAAATCTAAATAAAACAATAACCAAATTAGATAATGAAGTACAGTATATCAGTCATGGAAATAAAGATATATGGAAGCTCTACCGAAAGTATTGGCTCGTTGTTCAGTAGAATATTTTCACATTACAATAAATGCCAATGAATATACTTTGCCCGTTTTTCCTTAACAAAAAATAAAAGATATTGACAATGTCACATGACAGCATCCACCAGTTCAAATTTGATGGATCACAATAAAAAGTTTATTAGTAGGATCTAAACAAGTGCTTCGCTAAGTTTGGTGCTTTTATTTCAGTATGTTCCATCATTTTGCTAAGCTACCTGACTGTAACCAAACCTGGGCTGGGCTTGTCGGAAAAAGTTATCAGTGAAACAAATACGAGGTAAAAATATAAGGTCCTACTCTACCGCAGCTCTAAATACTTTCGCCGCGGACACACTTTAAATTTTTGAAGAATAAAACACTTTCTATATAAATATTAGTCGGAAGCAGTCTGGTATAGGTCAGGGGTGGCGAACCTATGGCACGCGAGCCCAAGGTGGCAAGCGAAAATGTTTTGTTGGCACTCGGCATGTAATGCCGCCCCAATATTTTTTAAACCCCACCCATAATATATATATATATAAGAACATAAGAACATAAGAAAATAAGGAGTCTGCAATAGGCCGGTTGGCCTGTGCATGGCAGCTCCTGTCGAGAGTTACTACCACTCTCTATCATCCATGAATCTATCTAGCCTCCTTTTGAAGCTTTCCAGAGTTCCCGCACTTACTACAAAGTTGCTAAGCTTGTTCCACTCGTCCACCACCCTATTTGTGAACCAGTTCCTTCCTATCTCCCTCCTAAACCTAAACTTATCCAACTTGAATCCGTTGCTCCGAGTCCTATCCTGCTCGGATATTATAAGAACTTTATCTATATCCCTTTATTGATTCCTTTCACCCACTTAAATACTTCTATCATATCTCCCCGCACTCTTCGTCTTTCTAGGGAATGCAAGTTAAGTTTCTTTAACCTATCCTGATATGGAAGGTTTCTAAGTCCCGGAATCATTTTTGTCATTCTTCGCTGCACCGACTCTAGTGAATTTATATATCCATTCTATAATAGGGCACCAGAACTGAACCGCATAATCGAGGTGCGGTCTAACTAGCGCAAGATATAGTTGCAATAAGACCTCTGCACTCTTGTTACTTACACTTCTAGATATGAAACCCAATACTCTGTTTGCCTTATTTCGAACATTAACGCACTGTTTTCTAGGCCGTAGGTCCGGGCTTACAAGTACCCCTAGGTCTCTTTCACAAGTCGACTTCTCTAGGTTGATGTTGTTAAGGCTGTATACATTATAAGTATTTGTTCTTCCAATATTAAGTACGCTGCACTTGCTGGTGTTGAATTTCATTTGCCATTTTTCAGACCACCCCTGCAGTTTATTTAGATCCTCCTGTAATGCATTTGCATCCTGCCCTGAATTAATTTGCCGCCCTATTTTGGTGTCATCCGCAAACTTGCTTATGTCACTGCTGATCCCAGTATCTAAATCGTTTATGTAAATTATGAACAAGAGTGGGCCTAGTACTGACCCCTGGGGAACCCCACTGGTTACACGGCCCCACTCAGATTTAACACCATCTACGCTGACCCTCTGCGTTCTATCGGTGACCCATGATTTTATCCAATTTAAAACTTTCCCCTCGATACCATGAGCCTTAATTTTTCTCAGAAGCCTCTGATGCGGTACTCTGTCAAATGCTTTGCTAAAGTCTAAGTATATAACATCGTAATTTTCGTCATTATCTACTACCTCGAAGAATTTCCTAAAAAACGTTAGCAGATTTGTTAGACAAGATTTTCCCTTTGTAAACCCATGTTGAGAGTCGTAGATTAATTTGATTTTCGCTAGATGCGATCGGATGCTATCTGCTATAATTGATTCAAGAAATTTCCCCACTACTGACGTCAAACTGATCGGCCGGTAATTTGACGCTGAGGCTCTGTCTCCCTTTTTGAATATGGGTACTACATTTGCCTGTTTCCACAACTCTGGCACAACTCCAGTGTCTAATGATTTTGTAAATAAGTTTACGAGGGGTCCGCTAATCTGTTCCCTACACTCTTTCAAGACTCGAGGAAAAATTTCATCAGGCCCTGGGGATTTTGTATTCTTTAGTTGATTTATCTTCTTAAGAACATCCTGTTTTCTGATAGTGATATTCTTTAATTTCTCTTCTTCCTTTCCCTTAAATATCAGTTCCACCTCCAGAATTTCATGGCAAATTTCTTCTGTGAAAACTGATAAGAAGTAGCTGTTCAATGCTTTGCTTATTTCTTCACTGCCATTTATCAATTCTCCCCTCCCTGACTTTAAAGGCCCAACTTTGTCCTTGACCTTTGTCCTATATACCTGGAAAAATCCCTTGGGATTCGCCTTGGATTCTCTTGCTATTTTGATTTCATAGTCTCTCTTTGCTTTCCTTACATTTTTCTTAACATTCCTAGATAGTTCATTATACCTGTTTTTGAGCTGCTCCTCCCCTCCCTTTAATTTCTTATATATTCCTTTCTTTATTCCTATGTCATGTTTAAGTTTTCTGGTCATCCACCTTGGCTCATTCTTATTTGACCTAATTTTTCTGTGTGGTATATTTTGTTCTTGTGCTTTATGTAGTATACTAGTGAATATATTATAGTCATGATCAATTGTTGTGTCATCTATGACCTCACCCCTTCCTACTGGGAACTGACGTGACTGTTCCCAGGTGACCTCACCTAGGTACCTTCTTAACTCCTGATAATCCGCCAACCGAAAGTTTGGGACTCTGACCATATTGTCATTGTTTTTCGTTTCCCAATTTAGGGTGAACCTGATTTCTCTGTGATCACTGTTACCTAGTTCTTCCCCTACTGTGATATCTCTGATAATATTTTCTTTATTTGTTAATACTAGGTCTAATATATTGTCACCTCTAGTAGGTTCTGTAATTAGTTGTTTCAAAAAATTGTCCTGTACTGCGTCTAGGAAGTCTTCAGATTCATAGTCGCCTACAATGT